TATATATATATAATATATATATATATATATATATGTATGTATGTATGTATATCCACATACATGTGCTTGTATATCGGTCTCTCCCCCCCCCCCCCTCTCTCTCTCTCTCTCTCTCTCTCTCTCTCTCTCTCTCTCTCTCTCTCTCTCTCTCTTCTCTCTCTCTCTCTCTCTCTCTCTCCTTTCTCTCATATATATATATATATATATATATATATATATTAATATTAATGTGTTTATAAATATATATATATATGTGGTGCGTGTGTATGATTCCGCAAGAGATGAAATGAAGCTGAGTAGAGATAGAGAGAGAGAGAGAGAGAGAGAGGGGGAGAGAGAGAGAGAGAGAGAGAGAGAGAAGAGAAGAGGGGGGGGGGGTAGAGAGGAATGAAGCGAGGAAGGAAAAGTAAAGAGAGGAAAAGGGGAGAGGTATATATATATATATATATATATATATATATATATATATTATATATATATATATATATATATATAGCAAGTGATAAACTTCTCTCCAAGCAGGCACGTGACCAGCAGAGAGAAGAAAGGAAGTAAGCAAGCAAGAAGCCAAAAAACCCCTCTTTGCAAGCCGAGCGTGAACCACCCCATCCCCCCCATCCACCATCCACCATCCCCCCCACCCACCCCGCCCGCACGCCCACACGCCCGCGCCGGAATCCAAATAAGTCTAATGCGAGAGGCCACCCGTAGCCCGAACACTTGTGAATTAATACTTTCACGAACAATAGCGTCCATTAAGCTCCTGTGGCGTGTGTAGAGAGCCACTTGGCCGCTAGAGGAGGGGAGGAGGGGTGGAGGGGATTTACGAGTGGGGGCGGGGGATAATCACTGCATTTCGTGTTTAATCACTGTGGAGGGGATAATTTCCTTGATTAAGGTCACCGGTCGTTTGGTTTAGATTAGTTTGTCCTCCAACGGCTATGATTTGGAAGAAAGAAAACGGAGAGAAAAAAGAAAACGGGAAGAGGCGTGTCGCGAGAGGGGGGAGTGACTAATTCGTATTGTGATTAAAATGGCAAAAAAAAAAATGTTTAATGGTGTCTACTCAGGAAGCCCATAAATCTTGGGAAATGCACAAAAGGGGGAAGCCAGATTGGATAATTGGATTGTTGTTGCTGTTCTTGACGGCAATTTGTATATTTCCTCTTCTCTCTCTCTCTTTCTCCCCCCACCCCCACCCTCTCTCTCGCTCTCTCTCTCTCTCTCTCTCTCTTCTCTCTCTCTCTCTCTCTCTCTCTCTCTCTCTCTCTCTCTCTCTCTCTCTCTCTCTCTCTCTCTCTCTCCCATACGAGCAATTTCTTTCTTTTTTTCTTTTTCGCCAAATACTGCAGAAAAGGATATACGTGAGGATAATTTTTATATTGATATGGATTTGTACTTTTTTGTCTCGTGTTTGTTTTTGTTTCCGCTGCATTTGGCTCATCCCACAATTTTTTTTTTTTTTTTTTCATTCAGAAATCCGAGTTGTATTGTATTTTCTCTCTCGTTATATAGTTCGATGTGTATTTTCTTTCTTTTTTTTGTCTATTTCTTCACTCATTTAACCATTTTTTTACTTATTATGCATTCGCATGTTTGTATATTTAATTGTTTGTTTATTTGTTTATCTACATATTTATTTTTTATTTATTAGTTTATTTTTCTTTCTTTTTTTTTGGTCTATTTCTTGTCATTTAATCATTTTTTACTTATCATTCATTCTCATGTTTGTCTGCTTGTTTATTTATTCATATTTATTTATTTCCTCGTTGGTGTGTTTATTTATTCATATTTCCATTCTCATTTCTACACCTCTTTCACTTTACACTCTTTTCTTTCTCTCTTCCTCACCTCGTCTCTCTCCCATTCACCTTTCTCCACGAGTCAGATCAGCTGATCTCACCCTCGACACATCGCCGACCACGAGCAGTACAACGTGTTCTGAATTTTCATTTATTAACCCCTAGCCGACGGGTGTCATGTACGTAATTTCATTGCATAGTAATTGTAAAAAAAAATAACTAAATAATAATAAAAATAACTAAAAAAAATAACACACGGATTTCGCCTATCGAGGATTCTCTTTGGAACGTAACCCCCGCGAAAAACGAGGGTTCACTGTATATATATATATATATATTG